AGGTGAAGGAAGAGAGGAAATGGTATCTTATCCGGTGTGTCATCACTGCTTGAGACAGGAGCGTAATTGTATGCAGCAGTGTAGCCCTCTCACCTCTGCACCTAACTCAACAGACTCCATCAGATCCTGGTTGGGGACTGCTCTGGGGCCAAGTTGAGGGTCAGCTGTCCAGCACTCCCAGCCTGCAGCAGTGTAACCCTCTAACCTCTGCACCTGACTCAACAGACTCCATCAGATCCTGGTTGGGGGCTGCTCTGGGGCCAAGTTGAGGGTCAGCTGCCCAGCACTCCCAGCCTGCCCCATGTGCAGATAAACAGGCTCTACAGGGGAAGGATCACAGCTGTGAGCCATGTGATTCTGGCTGCTAATGGTGAGCACATGTGACTGTTTTCATGTCTCCCATGGAAACTGAGGTGCAGAATTCTAGCATCTCTTTTCCAAGTTCTTGAAACACAAAGGCTGTATGGTAGAGTTGGCACAGAAGCAACCCACTGTATCCTGCTTACCATGCACATTTTCTAAGAACTGACATTTCTAAATTCTTAGCCTTTTTAAAAAAGCAGGAAAGTCCAATTTAAAACTCTTTATCTGGTTTTTATTTATTTCACTCAAGAGACAGAGAAAACATACTCCCATCACTAATTCACTCCACAAGTGCCTGGCACAGCCTAGAACTGGGTCAGGCCATAGCTGGCAGCCAGGAACTCAATCCAGGTCTCCCACAACCCAGATATTTGAGGCCATCATCACAGCTTCCCTGGGCCTGTGTGAGCCAGAAGTTGGAGTGAGGAGTGGTAGCCAACCCACCCACACACCCTTATGTGGGATCTTAAACTCAGCTAAGCATCTCTCTCACCACCTACCCATGGCAATTAATTTGTGTGTGTTGGGGTGAGCTGGGATGGATAAAGCATAGCAGAGAGATCGAGAAACCCACATTACCTGTCCTTGGTAGGGCCTGATTTGGCCCAGGAGCTGCAAAATCAATGCAGGTCTCCCATGTGGATGGCAAGGACTGAATGACTTGAGCCAACATTGCTGCCTCCCAACGTCTGCCTTGGCAGGAAGCTGAAGTCAGGAGCCATAGCCGGGATTCAAGCTCAGGCACTCCAACATGGGGTGCTAGCAGTGTGAACTATTCAGGCTAAACAGTCCCCAGTTCCAACTTATTGAAAAACAGGTTCTTGTTATTGGGTTAACCAGGTGTAGCACTCCCGATGGATGCTCACTCGCCCCTTAACTTCCTTCTTCTGCAGTCCTTTACTGCAGGGAGACATGAAGTTGAGCGCCATTTGATCAGACATGCAGAAGACCTAGAAGATCCTGAGCCTTTCTTCCACTAGACATGCCCTTATCTGGTACCAATGCTTCAAATGAGGAGGCCTCGCTCGTCCTCACTTCCACTACCTACACCTTCCCTAACCACAGAAAAGAAAGAACATGGAAGTAAAGGTCTGAGTTTATTTTGGTGCAAAAACAGTTTTGAAATCCATCCATAATTACTTTATACCAGCATTTTTCCATGTGCTACAAAGAATATATCTGTACCCTAACATTGTTTTTGCATCAAAATAAGCTGACTCTTCTAATTCTGTCTTCCATGGACCAGAAGCTCTCTGGTGGAGAAAAAAGAGCATGTATGTCTCGTAAAAGGCCAAAGGAGTTTCAGCAGAATATTGATAGCAGTCCGTGCAATTCTAGATGCTTCTCCCTGAATCTGGGGCATTCTTTTGGTCTCACTGTTTTCATCTGTAAAATCAGAGTGCCAGTCATGTGTCTGAAGATGGCCTGGTAGCATTCTCTCTCTCATCTAGAACCCATGAGCTTTGTGTAATCACTTGCATTTGCTTTTCTTTCAGGATGCAACCTAGAGATGTGTGTGTGCGTGTGTGTGTGTGTGTGTGTGTGTGTGACATTTGATGCACTGCAGGTCCAGGTGTGGCCTGTGCAGACTGCTGGCCACAGGAGTGATTCAGATTTGTCCTGGCTTGGGGGAGGGCAGTGTGGACACTGAAACTCCGGGGGTGTCTGAGGACTTTCTGGGCAGTTTGCTGCTGCCTCAGCACCCAGGCAGGATTCCTTTTGCTTATAGATCATTTCTAATTGTGTTTTCACCAGAAGCCTTAGTCCCTTGGCAACTAGGGGCAAAAACACCTGCTCCTTCATTAAGAAGAAAAGGAAATAGCATGAGAAATACTCATTTACAAACAATAGAAACAAATTTAACTCATATAAATTATCACCATTCAACCAAAACCACTTTGCAAGAAGACATTAGGAGAAATGAAGGCATGAGAGATGTGCTTTTTGTCACAAACCTTTATTCAGTAGTCTCATAGTAAGATACATCTTCTAAAACACATATTTAGACACCAGTGTGAAAAATAAGTAGCTGAAGAATATGCAGTATGGATCCAGTGATTTTGCCAAAGTGGCTTGAGCCTTTAGCTTCTAACTGCCCGGAGCCCTAAGGACGGAGATGGAGTTGCTAAGGTTTAGGCCAAGGACTCATTGCCAGCTGCCAGCACTGCACCCTTTCTGGGTGGTCAATGTGAATATTCTCCCCTGGGGACCTCCACCTTGAATCTTACGTACCCTCTCCCCTTCTACTGATACAAAGTAAATAAGACAGAAGAATTGAGACCCAGTTAGCAAATGCCATCTAGGAGGGAGTGGCCTCCATAATAATGTCTGTCAGGGTCACCTTTTAGGTCCTTCTGGAGGCCCTAAGAATGGCCTGGATTATGTAATCCCAACAGGAAAATCAGGCACCGTTGCTCAATAGCCAGGATCCAACAGCAGCACTGATGACTCAAAGGCAGAGGGAGACATGCATAACTGGGCACTAAGTCCTCTGGCTACACATTATGGGACATGAGAATAAACAAACAACTAACAAACAAAACAAAGCGGGGGTTGGTGTAGAATACTCAAAATGAGAGAGAAGATCAAAAAAGAAAAAAAATATCAAAATCCATGGTACAAATTAAAAGCAGGCATGAATTCAGGTGTTTTAGAAGCTGCATGAATAGGAATTTCCTAGAGGTTGAAGAAAGACTAGCTTGAAACCTGTAAGTACTCCTGGTTGCCACAGCATGGTTCCTCTGAAAGATAAGCTTTACTCTCAAGCAGATGGCATCTGCCAGTTGGGGTCCAATACCTCCAGACTTGTTTGTCTTGCATTTAGAAGAAAAAGGAGGATCCCTTGAGTTAAGGATCCAATGCCCTGCACACAGTCCTTGGCCTCCCTTGCCTGTGAACTCTGCCAAAAGTCCAAGATGGGAGGCAGCCCTTGGACCCCTTAGGGTGGCTGGCGACTCTGACAGCTTCCCAGGGTCTTAGGGAAGTAGGAAATGACTCAGCTGCCAGTCTTCCTGCTCAGGCACACTATCCCTGGCTAGTGATTATGGGGATGGGGGATGGAAGGAACAGACTGGCCTCCATTGGGTCAACACTCACGTAGCCACCACAACAGGGCTGCGCCAGCCTCACCCAGGAAGTCAGAAACTCTTGAGTTTCCTGCAGGGACAACAAGGGCCCAGGCACTTGGGACGTTTTCCATTGCTCTCCCAGGTGCATTAGCAGGGAGCCAGCTGAGCAGCAGTGCAGCCAAGACTCGACCCACCCTCTGACCAGGCATGGCAGCCATCACAGGTGGAGGTTGCTAACTTGCTACAACACAATGTTTACTTCACCCTCCACTTGCTTCACAGCATGGTGTGGAAGGCCTTCAGAGTCAGTGAGAACAAACTCACTGAGAGAAAGCAGAAGTGCTGATTTGAAAGGCGAAGGGGGTACAGCAAGGGACAGGGACACCCTGGGACTCGTCTAGCTTGAGACTTGAGCCTTCTCAAGATAGACACACATCAAGGCTTCCTTAGATGAATGTGTGACCAAGAGTGAATGAAGCTGGTCTGAGAGGTACACCTAGCAAGAGAGGAGAATGCGCCTTGCTGATGGCTGTCTTGGCCTGGTGGAATATGGGATGTGGCACAGTGATTGTTATGCCATGATTCATTGAAGACTGAGTTTCAAAAGAAGAAAGTCAAAGAAGCAGGAGGAGAAGGGGAGGAAGTTAAAGCAAACCTGTATTTGTGGAAGAGTTCTCAACTTACCTGCTTGACACAGGAAGCTTGGGGGAGGAATTGCGCCATAGTTACTGCACCAAGAGGCTAGAGGCCCGTGTCCCTTATCACCTTGTTCCTGGCTTCAGGCTCTCCCTGTGGGGAAGGTGGGCATGTCCACGAATCCCCACGCCAAGCAGCTGCGATCACCCAGGACCAATCCCCGGGGAAAGGTGAAGATGGGAGTTCTTTTGACCCACTGCCAACAGCAGCTGAGGTCTGGTGCTCAGGAGATCGTTTATACCACATGTACACCCTCTCCTAGCCTATGCATGCTTCAAGGCATACCACTGTGACATTATTGGGCTGGATGGATTGTGGGATAAATCTGGGGGAGGGGAAGGGAATGACAGGATGCTATACATTTAGTTATGAGGCATAGGTCAGAGTAAACCCTGACTGGGCACCAGTTCTAATTCCCTTTTTGTTTGTTTGTTTGTTTTTGCTTGAAATCAAGCCCAGTCTGTGTTGTTGAATGCCTGCAATGGCTAAGGCAGAGTGTCCGGCACTGAACCAGGACTTGAAAGACCTAAAAATGTCAGCCTCTGCTTTGGACCTTAGGAGTTTATAATCTGGCTGAAAATGGCTAGAAGAAAGGGAGAAATTGAGGAAGGAGATAGAATGGGGAGAGAGGGGGAACGAAGAAAGGAAGGAAGATTTTTAAGTATCACACAAATCAAAACTCAGCTCTCATCCCTAGAGTGGTTTGGACTAAATGCTCGGGCACTTGAAAGCAGAAGTACATGTGGCATCCACACACAGCGTGGTCCTTGTTGTCTCCCAAGAATGCTTTGCTTCCCTGTCTTGTTACACACTTCCCTTCCTCAGCTGCACTCACCGTTCTCACTGGCCCTGTGTTTGCTGTTGTCTGCACAGAGGTCAAAGACTACGAGCCTCCATTTGGTTCCAAGGTGCGGGAGCACCCCTGTGTGGAGAGCATGAAGGACAACGTGTTGAGAGATCGAGGCCGACCAGAAATTCCCAGCTTCTGGCTCAACCACCAGGTAAGGAATGGCTGGCACATGGGGATCTGGTGCCCTTGGCTCAGTAAAGCACTCTAGGGAGTACCCTGCACAGCTGTGGCAGTAGCCAGGCCAGTTGGGAGTGGAGCAGCGGAGACTGACACACTGCCTAGGGGAGCAGCTGACGTCACATGCAAACCCTGTCCTATGTTATAAAATTGTGTACAGTCCTCACCAGCTGTTGCAATAGCCTCTCTAGAAGGAGATTCCGGGAGAAGGAACTTCAAGTTCCAGGCAGGTCCCTGCGTGTTCTTTGGCCATGGACAGTTTTGTTTATTAAGAAAATCAATGAAGTGGATGACCCTCTTATTTACTCAAAGTTCCAGCTAGCAGGACTGGGCCACGTTCAAAGAGAACTCATCATGAACTATGTGAATGTTGTTTGTCACATTTTGCAAACAGGCCCCTTTGCTTTGGGGTAAAAAAAAAAAATGTTTTTCTTTGCAGCCTTGGCTGTTCCACCAGGCCCTCTCCATCAGGAGTTTATGTTTCATCCCCTCTGGGTTCCAAGTGTTTCCTTGTAGGAATCCAGCTGCCTGACAAACCCTGCTCCTTTTGCAATTGCTAAGAACTTCCTTCCGGAGCCGAAGATTCCTACATGAGTGTGGCATGCAGTGGGCTATGTGCAGGTGTGTGCAGGTTGCACTCTGCACTGGGCCCAGCCTATGGGAGCTTGTGTGGCTAAGGAGACAGTACACCCATTACCCTGGACTGTGGGAAAGCAAAGAAGAGGAAAATACCAACAAAAGAACAGGAGGCACCCTAACAGGCATCTCATTTTCTTTCAGCAAATGGTAGCTAAGGCTGAGCAGAGTAGGGCAACGGCTCTAGACCCTCGAGGAGACCAGGCCGACTTAGTGTTTAGGAGCTCTTTGGTGAGGGCAGTGGTAGTAGAGAGTGAGGGGGAATTGGCTCCATGTCTGAAACACCCAATGAGAGAGAAGAGTGTGCTCCTGTCTGTCCTCTGGGAGAAGCCTCTTCTTGCCTCTTCTGGATGGATTTCATCATCCCTGAAGGCTACAGCTAAGTTGTAGGTTTTGCTAAGGACAGGGTAAAATCAGATAAGAAGCGGGGTAAAATCAAATAACGCATACACAGAATCAGGGCAGGTAGATGGAGCGGAAGCCTGGTTTGGGCTAGCGTTGAGTAGGGCTGGCTTCAGGGCTTCTCCTGGGTTTCCAACAGGTCATTTTTGATTGTAAAACTACAATGAATGTTCTGCATAAATCCTGAAATCAGAAGGTGCTAGCTAGCATGTTATGTTTCTTCCAAACTCAGCTGCCTCTTCTGCTGTATAATCCTTTTAATGAAGCCATTATTCATGATGCTAAAATTCTGGGAAGAATTTGCATAACACATTTTTTCTCTTAATGAGATTTGTTGCCCTATTGATTTCAAGTTAATGCTTAATATTTAATTTAATTTACTGCCTGTAATTATAGTGCCAGAGCAAAATAAATGTTACTTGTGTACCAACAATAACACTCCACTTTTAACAGGGCCATCAATCAATACTGTCAATTAGGTGAATTATACAATTAATTCGACACCATGAACTCATGAGGTGGGGAGAGACACACTTGTAGGTGTGTTGGGAAAGCTGTCGATGTTAAAAGGGAAGGTGGGGGAAATGTCAGCTCTCCAGTGAAGAGCTGAGATCCCATGGTCCCACCATGGCCACCAGTGTGAGGGACCACTGGTGGCAATGCTGATTCCTTAGCTGGGGAGACAGCTTTCTTTTTATAGCTGTCACATCAGCTGTTTACCTTCTGTCTATTCCCTCTGCCTCCCTGACTCCAAAAAAGGGATTTGAAATAGTAATCAAAATATTTGCAATGCAGAACGATAATTAAGGCAGTGCTCAGCATTTCTTGAGTGTGCTCATTGGATGGGGTTTCTCGAAGCTAGGATGAGCCCTATCGTATGAGTTAGAGGCACACACCTCTGACCTACTAGGACAGCAGTTTCCCTAGGATTGATTTAGTGGTAGAGAGGAACGGGGGCCATCAGAGATCATCTTGGGAAGCCACTCCACTGTGGCCCAGAATATTCTACAAAAAGGAACCAGACCAGTGACTGCACACCAATCTGACTTTGATATTCAGTCTTGTTAGACTGCAAAACAGAACAAAACAAAAAAGCTCTTTCAGGAACAGTGGAGATCAGTAATGACCTGAGCTTTAGGTGGAAGACGGGAGGAACAAGTGGGGCACAAAGTCTTTCTAGAGTAGCTAAAATATTCTGCATGCTATGGCAGAGGAAGGTCAATGCCAACAGAAGCTGCAACACCAAGAGAAAAACTAAAGGTGAACTGTGGACGTTGGTTAAGAACAATGTGTCACTGTTGGCTCACAGACTAACAAGTGTACGTTGTGTATGGGAGATGATCTTGGTGGAGGACTGCATGTATACACGAGGGGTTACTTGGAAAAGCTGTGTACTTTCCACTCAGTTTGGCTGTGAGCCTACACATGCTTGAAGTGAAAGGTGTGAAAAGAGGGCCTTGCCACCCACCAAACCAGCCCCATTCAAGTGTGTGTTGTACCTCTCTCCCACTCCAGGGCATACAGATGGTGTGTGAGACGCTGACCGAGTGCTGGGACCATGACCCAGAGGCCCGTCTCACAGCTCAGTGTGTGGCTGAACGCTTCAGCGAGTTGGAGTACCTGGACAGACTCTCTGGAAGGAGCTGCTCTGAGGAGAAGATTCCCGAAGATGGCTCGTTGAACACTACCAAATAGCTCCACTGGCAACAGACTGGGCCACATCCAAAGAGGCCACTGCTCTCACCGAAGAACAGAAGCAGCAAGAAGCTGCTCCAGAATGGATCAAGGCTTCCTGGAAAATCAAGGGGATCACTCCCCTCCCTGCCAGCTGGGGCGGATGAGCAGAAAGTACAGTGGCAGGGAGCAGATGACGTAAAGCATTCTATACCTTTGGCACCGTCATAGGATAAGCTGTGTTAGCACTTCCTCAGGAAATAAGATTGATCTTATTATTTTTTTTACAATAGCCAATAACATTTGCACTTTATTAATGCCTGTACATAAATATGGAATAGCTATGTTTTATATATATCTATATATGTCTATATCTATATATCTATATATATATATCTATATATATATATATATAGCCATACTCTGAAAAGAGAAAGATCGAAGATTCCCAGGAAACTGGTGGGGGTTTTTTTTGTTTGTTTTTTGTTTAATTTTGTTTTGTTTTGAGAGCTCCAGATTGAGCGAGGAAGAAAGGGATGTGACAGCATCAGCACTTGACAATCATTCATGTAGGGCTCCCCCGCCTATGAAGTGGGGGTCCTCGTGTGGGGGGACATGCTGTGTCTCTTGGACACACTTCGGCCCACATTACACTTGCTGTTGCCATCATGAATGCCCCTGGCATGGGGGTTCTCTTTCATCCCTGGAGCTAAGTACAGTCGCACTGTTTAGGGAATGTGTTGCGGGGGTTCCTGTGTGCCATTGTTTCTCCCGGAGTTTGCATTTGAGCTCCAAGCCCCACTCCCATAGGATTTGTGGAGCTCTGCTCCCATCTCTATACATTTTAATGGTTTGATCTCCACACTTGTTGCCCCAATGGTCACCTTCATAGAGTACAGAACAATCAGGGCAAGATTCCTCAGCCATGAACTTGCCACTGCATCTACTAAGAAGAGTGTTCATTGTGTAGATTCCCTCTCTGCCTGTTCCTAGTCCCTGCTCTCAGGTTGCTGCCTTCCATGAGAAGGAGCAGCCTCCCCACCAGCACCAACCCCCAAGCCAGCAACTTGCTGTGTCTAGTTTTTCACCACCCCTCCCTTGGCTTGAGTCTCCAGCTTTCTATCCTAGGAGCCGCGGATCCCATCTTCCTGAGCTCTCGAATGCTCCTACAGGTTTTGGCTCAGTGGAAAGGATTCTAGTAACACAATCCTACCACTGTGAGGACTGTGTCCTCGGGTAAGCTGAACATAGGTTTGGCTCAGCCAGCTAAAAAAAAAAAAAAAAAAGGTTGAGCCACTTTTGAAATGTTTGTAGCGTCTTGCAGTTGAGCCTGGATCCCAGGTAAGGGTAGCTAATGGTTTCCAGGGCTCTGCAGTACACATTGTTCATGAAATGAAGTTTTGGACACATTGAAAAAAAGCTGCTTCTCTTCTTGCTCTAAGCATCTATCCCCTAGACTAGGTCTTTGACCTTGTCTCTCACCAAAGACTCTTGTGAGAAATGTACACTTAAACAGTTATTCTCTGACTACATATTAGCATTTTGTCTATCTGAATTTAAAATTTGACATTGGCCTTTGATTGGACTCAAGGGGACTTCATCACGTGGTCCCAGTTAGCCCAAGGTTCCTTTGGGTTTCTCCCTCTGCACTGAGGAGGCCAATGCTTTCCCCATCACTGCAAGAGAGGATGGCCAGTGAGGACTTGAGTGTGGGACCCCAGCATCCCACCTACACGTAGGGAATCTGTGTGTGTCCGCATGGACGGGAATGAAGAAGGAGCTTCCGTACTCCATAGGAAACTTGTTAACTCCACAAACAAGCGTGAATGCTGCGAGTAAGGATCTCTTCTGTTGTTTCTTGTGTTTAAAGCTACTTATCTTCAGCCAGATGGGGATACTAGGGAGTGCCTGGGGGTTGCGGAAGGCTTCCTCTCATGGAGGTTTCAGATTGCGTGAAATGGTGGGACTTTCCGTGCCCTGCTGCGTGCTGCAGTAACACCAGGGGAGAGCCCTTAGGTTCCCCTGGCACCCAGGGGCTTATTGGTGCCTTCCCAATAGCTGTTGCTCATTGACCTCTAGTGGTGGATGTCTGGAATACTGGTCCATGCATGGAATCTTGCGAGATGGGAGCGCCTTCACCACTTCTGGGGCATCATCAGCTTAAACTGGAACGTGGTGTTCGATGATACTGTGGCTTGTCTTATGTTGTTTTTCTTACTCAAGAGAAAAGACCAAGGAATAACATTCTGTAGTTCCTAAAGATACTGACTTTGTTTTTCTTTTTACTGTTCTATGTAAAGGGAAAGTTTTATTCTTTTATGGAACACTTAAGCCATGTTCATGTATTAAAATAGGAATGTGAATGCTATATACTCTTTTATATCAGAAGTCTTGAGCACTTATTTTCATTCTATGCATTGTTTGTCTTTTATATCCATAAAAATGTTTATTAGATTGAATAAAGCAAAAAGACTCAGGTGAACTTCCTGCCTCCCGTACCTGTTCCTTACAGTTCACACATTTGCCTAACTGCATTGCTTTCCAGTGTGTACACAAAACATCCCTAAACCAACCCTCCCAGCTTTTCCATATTGATTATTTTTGTCAACCGACAGACTCTCCTCTCTCTAAAAAAAAAAAAAAAAAAAAAAAAAAATACAAGTGAAAGTTCACTAATAATGAGAAGCGGCCAGTGCTGGTGGTCTGTGCCTTGTCATGGTGACCTGACCCGATGTCCCTTTGTGTCCCTTCCGTCCCATGGATGGTTCCTTCTGGGGATTGGCACAGCAGAGGCTGCAACTAAGAGATAGTACCTGTTGCTTTTATCCTTTCTGTCCTTTCAATGGCCAGTCCATGAGCTGTGTTGCTGACTCCTGTCACTGGCTGCGCTTCTTGCCTCTTCCTTCCCACCCAACACCTGGACTTCATGAAGTGTTTTAATCAGCTTAGCTGAAGGACGAGATGCCCTTGGAAAGTTGGCTTGAGGCCATTGCTCCTGTGAAAGAAAGAGTGGATGAGATTTTCTTTCTGAACCTCATGTTGCTTTAGAAGGTGAGCGATTTTGTCACTTCTTCCAAGTCAGGAGTTCGGCTCTGAAGACGGAAGTTCCAGGCCAGGGTTGTGAGCAGTGGATTAAGCCCCCACGTGAAAGTGTAGCCTGCTCCAAAATTGCTCTGAGTGCAAGCTGTTCCACACGTCCAACGCATCCTTCTGCTGATGTGTCTGGGAAAACAGGTGGTGACCCAAGTGCTTGGGCTTCTACTACTCAGTTTGTTTATCTTGTTTTTAAAGATTTTTTTTAATTTTATATTGGAATGTTAGAATTACAGAAAGAAGGAAAGACAAAGGTCTTTTGTCTACTGGTTCACTCTCCAAGTGGCTGCAATGGCCAGAGCTGAGCCAATCTGAGGCTAGGAGCCAGGAGTCTCTTCTGGGTGTCCCACACATGGGTGCAGAGTCCCAAGACTTTGGGTCATCCTCCACTGCTTTCCCAGGCCTCACACAGGGAGCTAGATGAAGAGCAGGGCTGCCAGCACAAGCATAAATGGGATCCTGGTGCATAGAAGGCAAGGACTTTAGCCACTAGGCTTCTACTCTGGGCACAGGCTCCTTCTCCTCTTAACACAGACCCAGATGGGATTTCTGTCTTCTGGCTTTGGGCTGGCCAGCTCTGTCTGTTACAGCCATTTGGTGAGTGAAACAGCCAACAGAATATCTGTATCACTCTCTTTTTTCTTGCATTTGCCTTTCAAATAAATAAAGGAAATTGAGAACTAGAATTGTGACATAGTGTCTGCAACAACCCTATGGATGCCACTTTGAGCCCCCAGTTCTGCTTCCAGTCCAGTTCCCTTCTAACACACACACACACGGGAAAATAGCAGAGAACAGCTGCAGCCATGTGGGAAACCTGAAATAAGCTCCTGGCCTCTGACTTAAGTGTGACCCAACCACAGTCATTGCATTTAGGTCATGAGCCAGCAAGGGGAGATCTGTCTCTCTTTCTCTCCATGACTCTGCCTTCCAATTAAATAAATGTTTAAAAGCAGATAAATTAAAAAAAATGTTTAAAAAGAAATAAAAGGTGTTTATAAAGTCAAAAAGGTAAGATCCTATGTAATTGATGTAATAGTGCCTGCATCAGGGTGTCTTCACCTTGGCACCACTGACATGTTGTGTCGGCTAATACTCTTAGTAGCAGGGAGTGGTCCTATGCATTGCAGGAGATTTGTTATCTCCATGGTTGATAAAAACTAAATGCTAGTAACATCCATTTCCCAGCACTGACAACCAAATGTGTCTCCAGACATTACCCATGTCTCCTGAGGCCTGTCGAGTCATTGAGCTAGATGAAGTGTCTTACAGTAGCCCTTCTATCCAGCTGCTGCGTGACTAGTAGCAGATGAGGGATTACCTGCTCCTCCACTCACCAGCTGTGTGAACTGCTCCCACTGTCTAACCTTTCTAGACCTCCCTTCATCAAGTGTCAAGTGGGATTTGCAAAGCTCCACCCTCCATCAGACACTGTTATGGCAAGAAGTACACACGAGGCTTAGCGAGTCTTATGCTTGGGAAAGCTTCAGTACATGTTGGCCATTGCTAGGTAGGTTATGTTATGAGGGGCTGGCTTTGTAGAAGTGATCCCAACAAACAGAATTCAGAGAGCACATGGAGCACATGTGTTCTACAGGCATGTAGAAAGGGTCTGCCTTGTGTGAGCATTGTGTGTTCTCTCTATTATCCAATTTGCTCCCCATTCACCTGGGAAGTCCTAACATAAAATGTTTGCCAAGGGGCCTGACGTGGTAGTCTAGTGGCTAAAGTCCTTGTCTTGCATGTCCAGGATGCCATAAGGGTGCTGGTTCGTAACCCAGCTGCTCCACTTTCCCATCCAGCTCCTTGCTTGTGGCCTAGGAAAGCAGTAGAGGATGGTCCAAAGCCTCGGGACCCTGCACCCGTGTGGGAGAGCCAGAAGAGAGTCCTGGATCCCAGCTTTGGACTGGCTCAGCTCTGGCCATTGTGGCCACCTGAGGAGCGAACCATTGGATGGAAGATCTTCCTCTCTGGATGTCTTTCACTCTGTAAGTCTGACTTTCCAATAAGAATAAATAGATCTTAAAAAACTCGCTGGGAGCAGAAACAACCGGAAGGTGAACAGGTGCAGTACATGGTTCCCAGTCTGTGAAAGGTGCCCTGGCATCTGAGATGATTTCAGATGGTGCCAAAGTTCCAAAACACTGTTTGAGAAGATCTGTTTTGATAGTGACATTTATTAGAGCGATGATAAATATGTTCAGCCTGGGCTTTTACAAACAGTATTACTTGAAATACAACCGAGTCAAACATGGCATTGGTTTTAAAGCACATTAGGTAGAGAATTGTACGTACAGCAGATGTGGGCATGAGCCATTGAAGTCAGGGTATTCCATGTGAATAGGAAGCACATGTGTACTAGTTGCCAACATCTGTTGGGCACTCCGTATGCATCCTGTGCTATTCTCTCAGTTTTGCCTTACCTTTTTTTTTAAGGTTTATTTTATTTTTATTGGAAAGTCAGATATACAGAAAGGAGGAGAGACAGAGAGAAAGATCTTCCATCTGTTGATTCACTCCCCAAGCAGCCATAATGGTGGGAGCTGGCGTCCATGTGGGATCTTGGCACATGCAAGATGAGGACTTTAGCTACTAGGCTACCGCACCAGGCCAGGGTTTTGCCTTTTCTTTACCTGCCTTTTCTCACACAGTACTCCATTTTTAAGTAAAGAACTTGACACAAAGAGTGAGATTTTCCTAAAAGTCCCAGCACTTGCAGTCTTTAGCAGCAGGGTTTGAACCGAGGTTGTCCAACTCCAGAATTCACTCTCAGCCCTTTAACAGGAGATGAAGTTACAGTGAGAGGGAGCAGTGTGGAGCATCAGCCTAGTCTAGGGTGCTGATGGAAGAAAGCAAACACACAGCTGGGAAGAAGATGCAGCTAGCTCTGGAGGGGAGAAGAGTGACCACAGGAGAGCCCAGGAAGAAAAAGCCTTTTCTCAAACACCCAAGGCCTCCGGGCTCAGGCCCAAGAGCATCCGCCAAAACAGAAGCCAAGGCCTTCGGGTGGCCTCATTGCCCTCACCATAGCCTGCTTTGCTGGCGCTCTTTCAGTTCCTGCTACTGCAAGGTCAGGAGCATTCCCAGTTAGTCTCCGAGTGCCTTCAGCAAGGGCTCCCTCCCTCGCACCCTTCAGCATCTTCTCAACGCGGATTTCTCTTTGTGCCCAAGAGTTTCCTTTTAGTGGTAGCTGTTTTTGTTTTGAGTGCTCTGTGCAAACCACATGCTAATACTCTGTTCCTGAGGGAAATCATTTCCGGAGGTGACTAGGAAGTTTTCATTGTAACCAGGGTATCTATCCATTGTCGCCAAAGCCACGACAGTTGGCATCTGCTTTCTTCAGAAAGAGGCTGCCTAATCATTGCTTATCACATTTCTAATTAGTTTCTTTTTTTTTAACTCACATAATTATAGCTGTATACTTGTGGGTTTGGGAGCATGCCTTTCAGGCCTTCTTTGCAAACGGTGCTGATCAAGATTATAAACTCGCCCATATTTCTGCCAATCAGCCTCACAGAGTAATTTAATTCTAATATACCTCCTGATCTTCAGCATTTAAAAATAACTTGTTAATAGCCTTCCTATTCTAATTAAGCTAAAATTGCACACACTGAAATGCTTACTCCATTCCCTCCCCCCCCCCACACACACACCCTATTGATCCTTAAACATCTTTTTCTGCATGCAGCCTCTGCCAGCAGAGTGCTTCTGGAATTGTCCTCAAAGTCTTCCCTTGGTTCATGTCTACCATGATGGACAGCTGTATAACATGGTTGTAGCCCTGGGACCATGGGATCCTCAAAATATTCTTGCAGAATTGACTAGTCATAATGCAAGGTTAAAATTGGAATGTTTATCAGGAAGCAGATGTCCTTGGTTCAAATCCAAGAACTGCCATTTAACTGTGTTACTTTTGTAAGTCTCACTTGCTTTTCTTGCTTTTTTCATGAACAGGCTGGGGATCATGATAGGACCCACTTGGCAGAGTTGTCAGGGAATTGAGATACTTTAAAAATTTAGTTGGAGCAAGCATTGGGGTGGTATGTATCAGACCACTCTCTGCAACACCGGCATCCCTTGTGGGTGCCAATCTGTGCTGTGGCTGCTTCATTTTCAGTCCAGTTCCCTGATAACTTGTGTGCATCTGCTAAGACTCCTTTCTCTAAAGAAGTTTGCATTTACAAGTTGTAGAAATTAAGAAATAAACGTGCTTCTTTGGGGGCCAACATACAACTCCCTGTAAAGTTTTAGCCAATTTTTCTGGTAGGAATTTTCCAAAGATGTAAATATCCCAAACCCAGTGTCTTAATCATCTGAGACTTTTCTGGAGATGACTCTGACAGTTTGGAAGTTTTATGTGGGTACTTTATCTATGTTAATATGAAATAA